TCCTGCCTCCAGGCCTCTCCGGGTTAAGGGCACTGAGTGACCTCCACCGTGTCCTCATGAGCTTACTCTCCAGAAATGTCCAGCTCTGGTGCCTCCGACTAACTCGCTCCAGATGAAAGGGTTTGAAAATGCACATCATCCACTGAGTTTCCAAAAAGGAAAAATAATTCTGTTTGGGGATGAGCATCGCCCCCCATTCCCAGCTTAGTGCGATGATGTACATAGAAGGCCCTAGCTCTGGAGCTAAGTTCCAACCACGTTCATCCCACCTCCACCTCCCAAGAGCTGAGGGGCCTGGTGCCTCCACTCTGTCTAGAAACGGACTTGAATTCTTGCCTCTAGGGCACCAGTCCCATGGGGGTGGAGGGCTCCACCCCATGTCCTCATTCAAACCCAATTACCTCCCAAAGGCCCCACCTCCAAATACCATCACATTGGGAATTGGGGTTTCAACATATGAACTTAGGGAGGGGGAACATAAACCTTCAGTCCACGGCAACACAGAATGCTAGCAGCTTCTACAAGCTGAAAGAGACAAGGTAATGGAGTCTTCCCCAGCTGTTAGGTTAGGAGAAGGGGTTAGTGACTGAAGCCAAAAAGGAGACAAGCAAAGACCTCTCTAGGATTTAGGAATGAAGAAATGAATGAGCATTAGAGTAGCACAGATCACTACAGTCGGTGGTCGTCGTTTTGTGACCCTACTACACAATAGAATCTTCTGAAGACTTTAAAACTGCACTGGGTTACCACCAAGTGGTGGGGCCATCTCCAGGGGTGCAGCCGGGCACAGTACTATTTTTTTTACAGCTCCTGAGAACCACTGAATATACAAAGTGTACTTTCAAAATGAAACTCGTTGCACGACCCCAAATGGAAAATCAGTATCACGTGCCATAAATATAGTCCAACAGTAAATACAATGAAAAGAGGTACAGCCTGATATAAAAGGTTAGTAAACATTAGTTGTTAACAGACACACGTATTCTCTCACTAATGAGAGAGCCTGAAACAGAACTGAAAAAAATATCTTCTTGACCTCGTCGTACAGATCAACACACTGAGATCCCAGAGGGGAAGAGGCACTTGTCCAAATCCACAAACAAAAATAGAGACACTAGCATTTGAGTGATTACTGTCTTTAGGCTTCTGACTCCTCACAACCACCTTAAGAGTCAAGTTCTATCATCATCCTCGTTTTAGATGGGGAAACCTAGATACAGAGTGTGTGTACCTTGCCCGGGGTCCGAGAACTAGTAAAGGCGAGAACAGGTAAAGGGCACAGAAGCAGCTCCAAAGATCATTTCAGAAAAAGGGAAACCGAGGCCCAGGGAGGGTGAAAGGGTACCGATCCACCCTTCTCAGGGTGGGGAGTGGAGTACAAGGTAGACCGCAGCTTAGATTCAACAACCTCTTCAAATCTGCTCTCTCCTCCTCAGGGGGAGCTATGACATCACATGCAACTGAGGAGTTGTTACCATAGAGGCTGTAAATCCCATTCAGAGACCGGAGCGGGAAAACCAGGGGTCGCACTCACTTCCCGGGGTACTTCAGAGCCCGCACTTCTAGCCTCAGGAACGAGGCCCGGGGAGCCTCGCATGCGCAGACTCGGCCTTACCCCTATGCCCCGCGCGCGACCTGCAACACTGCCCAGGTAACCGAGGCTCGCGGACCCCAGTACTCTCACTGACCAAAGTTGCGCGCGAGGCCAACTCAATGCGCATGTGCGCCCGTATGGCCTCTCCGCCAATCGAAATCCTTCTTGCAGTTTGGCCCCGCCTTATTCTTCAGGCTTCCGGCGTCTTGCTGTCTCCAAGGCAACCTTTCTACTGAGGGCCTGGGAAAAGGCAGCCCAGAGACTTCTGGGTATTGTAGTCTGAAAAGGGCAGATGAACTGGAGCACTTGTTTATAAAAAGAAAGATACTGTGATATAAATGCCTCCATCCAGGGCTGAGTTTGTGGATAAAAAATGCTCGAAAATGTTTTCGCCAACTGTTATTTGCTGGAGTAACGGGAAGGAGGGAGGAGAAAAATGGAGCAAGGTAGCCGCAGAGTCTCCTAGGAGTTGTAGTTCCGCTCGCTGCGAGGGGACTGGGAGCAGGCGACCCCACCCGGATCCGGAAGTGAGCACTGGGTGACAGGGTGGCTGATGGGACTGAGGAAAGATCCTGACCCAGGCATACCCACTTTCTTTCCCTTGCCCCGCTTGCCAGATCCTGACCCTGTCTGCATGCTTTGGGGTCAGTTGTTGGGGGCTCCACCGTCATTCACGGATGTTTCTGAGCTTGTTGGTCACTATGGTAACACCTCACGCTCTCCGCTCCTTGCATTATGACGCCACGGGCTGTGCCCTGGAAGGAGGCATGCGTCTGACTGGGGAGGAGGACGAAACAGGCGGTCGTGGGAGGAGCCAGGGGTGGGACCAGAGGGGCTCCTGTGAGCTGTCTCTGTGGGGCTGGGAGGCTTCATTTAAATAATCAGTAGTACAGTAGGAGCAACTAGCACGGATGACTGACTGGTGCCTGCTTTCTGTAGCTGCTGAGAGACTTCGCTGGGATTCATTCATTAGCTTCTATTTATTATTTTTTTCTACCAATTTGGTTGGAAACTTAGACTATGGTTTCACACCCGTGTCAAAGTGAATAAATGGAAGCTACTCAAATGGACTCGTTGCTGCCACGTGGGAGGAACTGCCTAGCACATCTGATGCCTCAAACCTTTGGAATGTTAAAACAGGCCAAAATAACCTTTAGACTGGGACTAAAGCAAGCTTGTGCCCCAAAGAACTGTTCGCAAAGATAACAAGAAAGCAGATATGACTACTGGACTGAAATTTTAAAAGGTTATTTAGAATTATCATCACTATATTATGTCATCTGCACCAATAGCAATGCCTTTCTTCTGTGGACATAATTGTTCCCCTCCCCTTTCTTATAAATGCCCCTCCCTTTGTCTCCTAATTGGAGAACTCTTTGGGCTTCTACCTGAATCATTGCTTCCTGAATAGCTATTCTTTTTTTAAATCTCAAATGTTAGTACCTTCTCACTTTGAAAGGCCTTTTTATCTTTAACACCTGTCTCCAGGCAAACTAGGTCACTACCAATTTTCTGGAGCACCAGGCATTCCGTTCCTGCTCTGGAACTTGTTAACAGGCTGTGCTATACGTTTATTCAGTCAACAGGTCCTTATTCAATGCCCACAGGCACCATTTGCCAAGGATACAAACAGGAGAACGTCCTCGGAAATTTTGTTTTGAACAAAAAGATACACGAACTTAACCCATAGTTCTCATCCTCAGCGTTATTGATATTTGGGTCTGATCATTCTTTGCTCTTGGGGTGGGGAGGAGGCTGTCCTGTGTACTGTAGTGTTCTGAGCAGCATCCTGGGCCTCTACTCACTAGATGCTCCCTGTCCCCCTTCCCCCATCGCCATGTGACAACCAAAAATTTCTCCAGACTCTCACAAATGCCCCTTAGGGAGCAAAGTCAGCCATTGAGAACCACTGCTCTTCAAAGGCTTTTCCTAAGCACTCCTCCTTTCAGATAACTTGAGCAGGTGGTAAGCACCAGCTCATTAACATCTTTGTGAGGATGAGAAAGAGAGTGTATCTTAAAGTTCTCATCACAAGAAAAAAAATAACTATATGAGGTGATAGATGTTAACTAGACTTACTGTGATGGTCATTTCACAGTATGTACAAATATTGAATTGTTATGTTGTACACCTGAAACTAATATAATGTGATATGCCAATTATATCTTAATAAAACCAGGGAATGTCTGATATCGATTGCTGTGATGAGCTGACGCATTAACAAATTCAGTTTTAAATACAATTTGAGAGGGCCTCCATCACTACCATCAAAAGGAAAAAGGTAATTGGATGTAAAAGGCCATTAAAGACATGTAGGGGAAGTAAGAAAAACATAACGTCAATCACCTAGGCTGCTTCTGATTAGCATATAAAACCTTTCTTATAATAAACTAATTCATGAAACTTGTTTATGAATTAGTTACAACAGGGTTTCACTAGGATAAAGGACATGGTACCATCATTTTTACCTAACATCTACAAGGAGTCAGCATTCCCTTTCATTTGTCATCAACTTACTGTATGTTTTCTGTGCCTTTTAGTAGTTTCTTTTTATTTATTTATTTGTACATGAATGCTATAAGACAACAGCTTCCTGGGAGCCCAGTCAGATCTACTTGTGTGAACACAGCCACACCCACTCCCCCTTTAATTAAGTTTAGTTGACTTGAGAAGTCAGAGGAAGCTGCTTCTTTTGGAAGTTTTTAGATGCCCATTTAGCCATTGTAGCTGAAGCATGTACAATTACCCCCTGAGGAATAGAGTATTTCCTTATTAATTGCTTTCCTCCAAGGGTGGCAGAAAAGGCTATGTCTTCAGAGCCTTCTTTCCTCAGTAGGAAATCCTAAATCTTTATACCAAAAAAAAAAAAAAGTAGAGCCTTTGGAATGAGTCAAACCTGAGTCAAAAATCAGCTCTGTCACTTGTGTGACCTTGGAAAAACTGTCAATCCCTCCGAAGCCCTACTTTTCTTCATAAAGGCAGGCAGAATAATAGAACCTCTTTATACATTGTTGCCAGAATTAAATGATATATATAATTCTTGGCACCCCTGCCACTCTATGCATTGTTAATTCTCAGTGTTGGGTGATGGAAGAACTGAGCATTCAGCCATTTCAACATGCGTACATTTTATTATAGAAACAGTGAAGAAATGTTGAAAGACATCTGAAAGAGAAGTTTTGAGGAAACCCCTGCAGATGTTCACTCAGCTACTCTCTGGGCCCATCTGCTCATGGCCCTCAGAGACACCTTCCTACTGCGCCTCTGGACAGACAGGTGTTCTTCCTCAAAGGACCCAAATCCTTACGCTCCAAATTGGCAGTCCAGGGGACAGATTGGTTTCTTGGGAGGTGAGACTACCTGGGAGTTAGAGGACTTGTGAAGGTTGAGCTGAGGTAGAGGAGGGTCAATAAAAAGAACAGCAGGGGTCGTTTCTAAGGAAGGGAAGAAAAAAGGGAGAAATTTATTTGTGCATCAGTTTGCATCCCAGACCACTCTCCTTACTCACTATGCTCCACTCATTCTGTCTCTCAAACGCATCAGCTATTCCACTACATGGAACACTCTTCCTACATCTCAGCCAAGTGGCCCTTCCCCATCACTCAGTACAAATACCTTCGCTTCAGTGAGGGGTTCTTCTGAATACCCAGTAGAAAGCTCCTCTCTGCCACAGCACTCTGTTTGGCCTTATGGAAATCTCATATGATCGCTAGTTTTCTCCTGCCCTCCCACTAGAGGGTGACCTCCATGAACTCAGGGACTTCCTCTGCTGCAGCCCCACTGTACCCCCAGCCTGGCACCCTGAATCATGCAGGGTTAGTGCAGGGAGCAAATATATAAGATTTGCTCTGAGCACTGGAGTCTCGGGGACAGAGAAAGTAGACTTCTTGCTCCCAGAGGGGCTCACAGTCTAGTGCAGAGGTCTACAAATTACAGCCCAAGGGTGACTCCAGCCTCCATCCCTTTTTATAGGTTTTTTTAAATTGTAGTAAAACCCACATAACATAAAATTCACCATTTTAACAAGTCTAGGATCCATGAAAGAGTAGTTGCTCAATAAAAATTTACTGAATGAGTTCTTCAATAAGTTGAACAGAATTACCAAATGACCCAACAATTTGACTACTAGGTATGTACTCAAAAAAATTGGAAACAGTTGTTCAAACAAAAACTTGTACACAAGTGCTCATAGCATTATTCACAATAGTCAAAAGGTGAACAAAACTCAAATGTCCTTCAGCTAGTAAATGGATAAATAATTGTGGCATATCCATTCACTGGAATACTATTCAGCAATGTAAAAGAATAATGTACTTATGCATGCTACAACCTGGATGAACCTTGAAAACATTATGCAAAGTGAATAAAGTCAGACACACAAGGCCACATAGTATATGACTCCATTTCTATAAAATGGCCAAAATAGGTAAATCCATAGAGAGAATAGATTAGTGGTTGCCAGGGGCTGAGTGGAGGGACTACTTATGGGTACAGGGTTTTCTTTTGGAATGCTAAAAATTTTCCAGAGCTAGATAGTGGCGATGGTTGCACAACATTGTGACTGCATCAAATATCACTAATAGTAAATTCACGCTATTTGTATTTTACCACAACTTTAAAAACCCAACATAAAATTTGAGAGAATTCATAAATGAATTCCTACAGTTCTCCATGTCTTTATCATTTGTAATTCTCTTCACTGGCCATGTTAAGTGGCTTGAGATTAAAAGTGATGAAACTGGGATTTTTCATATAATTCTGTGATCCTACAATTGGAGTGTCTAAACCCACCTTAGGTTCCCTACTCAAACACTAGGCAGTTGGAACCAAGCCTTCTCACCCCAGTAGTGGACAAAACCCTCTTCCCTGCCATAACATACCTGATGTCCACTTCTGGGTTACAGTAGTGACAGTAACACTGGGAGATTGATGAAGGAGTGAACCGGAAACAGAAAGAAATGGTAGGGGTGAGGCAAGTCAACTTCTCTCCTTCCTTTTCTCCCTACTCCTTCTTTCTTCCTTTCCTGCCTACCTCTCTTTCCCCCTTCTCTCTTGTTGCAATATCCGGTGGTCTTGATGATTTATCTAGCCTCACCTCTCACTGCTCCCATGTTCTGCCCCATCTTCTAGCCAGTTCTCCCAACCCCCATAAGTGACACCGTCCTCATCACTACTGACATTTGACCCATCTTGATCCATTCTGTTGTGAGAGCTGTCCTATGCAATGCAGGATATTTAGCAGCATCCCTGGCCTCTCCCACTAGCACCTCTTCCTCCAGTCATGACAACCAAAAACGCCTCCAGACATTGCTGAGTGTTCCCTAGGTGGTAAAGTCACCTCCATTTGAGAACCACTGGCCTAACCCATGTCTCAAGCCCAAGCCTGGGCCTACCCACTCCATTAGCACTTCTTCTTGAACTGCTGCTACAAGGCCCTCCTCATCTCCATACAATCACCAATATCCTGCCCAGGCCACTCGGACCACCCTCTCTCAGTCCTTCTGCTTCCATTGTTGCCTTGATTCCAACTCACTGCATGCTACAGTACCAGAGCTATCCTTTCACACCTCAAATCAATCTTGCCTACGGGCTTGCCACCAAACTTAAGATGAAATTTTCCATCTTGCCAGGGTCTATGTGGCCCCTTCATGATCTGGACGCCCTCTCCCCCTCTTCACTCATATAGATTTTGTTTTAGTTCCTCAAGGTCACACATTTCTGCCTTGGCATCTTTGCCTTACATTGTCACTTTGCTCAGGTCATGGTCGCTTGAGCTATCTCCAAGCAATTCTCAAGGCAGTCTCCTTCTACTTGTTCATTTCTCCATCTCAATATTGCTTCCCCAGACCCCCTCTGGCCTACCTGCTCTGTGATATCCCCCTGATTCATTTCCTTTTCTGAAGCTCACCACATGTTTCATTTCTGTTCCCCTGCCCCTATCATGTGAGCTCCATGGGCCCGGGAACCTTAAGGGTTTTGTTTTCCTGAGTCCCCACCATCCAGAATGGGATCTGCTACACTTGTACATTTTGAGGCATGAATGCATGCATGAGTGAATGACTATTGGCCATTTCTTGCAAGTAATGCTTCCATACTTCTACTGCCATGCCTCTACTCCTATACTTCTACTCTCATGCATATCATGTTTTCTCTTTCTGGAATGCCTTCCCCCCCCCCAACCCTTTGATTGGCTAAGTCTGTACCAAATGGAGCAGAGATGGCATCTCTTTCAGGAAGCTTTTCAGGAGTTTATTTTCTCCTTGGGCTTAGATAAGAGCTATCATCTGCTTCTCTAACAGAGTGATGCCTATGAAACACTCCCACTTAGTGATTTGGTCATCTCTTTTGATGCCTGTCACCTTACAAAATATGATGTATTTAAAGGGAGTTTAATCATCAGCATCTCCATAAAAACAGTAAATACTTGGTTCTTAAGAGCAATGAACAATAAACTCTTATTTAACGCGATTTTACTCATCTGGTGGTTTTAACTTTGCTTTTTCTGGCGTTTTGACAAAACACACCTATCTAAATAGGCCCTAAATTAAGAGGGGGAGGAAGAGGGAAGAGAGGAGTTGGGAGGGAGAGGGGAAGGAGATTACCAGTGTAAAGGTAAATGCAAATAAAAAAAATTTATTCATGGAGCAAGAAAGAGAGAGAGAAAGAGAACGCGGGATGGAGGGAGGGAATAAATGAGTGGTAGTATTTCATAGGAATCTCTGGGACTGCGTTAGTACAGAAGAGAGTGGCTCCTATCCAAGTCTGAGGATGGAGAGAGGGATAAGAGAGAGGGAAGAAAAAGGACGAAAGGGAAAGAAGGAAGGAAGGAAGGAAGGAAGG